CTGGATCTTCTGAGAAGTGCCAGTGTCTGGCCAGTGGTACATCATACAGAGTGGTCTCCAGAGTGTTTGACATGCCTTGTTCCACTGTCACCGCATCGTCCTCCGAGTCGCTGAGGAGGTGCTGGCCATTCGCCAAGAGATTCACCTCCCGAAGACCTCAGAACACATGGAGGCAGGGCTGGGCTCAAAATGTATGTTGTTTTTCTGATGTTCAACTTAAGCTATGTTGTAAATAGTATGTTGTATGTTGTAAATAGTTGTAAAAAATAATTTCAGTAATGTATAGAACAATTTGTTTTAATGTGTAAAAAATTTATTTACAGGACAAAAAAATAAACGTATAGAAGAATGTTTTGTAAGCTGTATTAAAAAAATTAACAATGTACATAATTTCTTCCCTTTTATTTACCCATGTGAATATGCATAACAAAAAATACAAAATGTACAGAAAGTACTTTGATGTCCTCCCTGAGTAGCTCCACCAGCTTCCACTCACTCCCTCATCTGTCCCAGGACACTTGCAATCCTAAGGCAGAGCAAATAAATCATGCCTGTTAACAACAACAGCGCAATGAATTTCAGCAAAAATGTGTCTATTAACTTGCTTACTTTGTATTTTTTAAGTCCTTCCCCAGCAGGCTCATTTTCTCCAGAATAGTCCTAAAACGAGAAAATGGAAACACTTATGAAAAATATTTAGACTGGTGCAATCTTTGAAAATATGTACAACATATTTAAACGTATGTACAAATTGGTGCAACATTAGAAAATATGACAGCAGGACATGCATACAAAATACTGAAGTGCTCAAGTTTGGTTTAAACATTTGTGGACATATCTTGAATGACAGCACTACAAAAACACAACAAAGGGAAAGACTATTGCCTTATATAGTGGTTGTCTTATTGTTTGTGGGCTTTGTGTTAAAAAAAAAACCTGGGTTTTAACACTTGTTTCACTAGGTATTTGAGTAAATGAAAACACAATACTTACATTTCAATGTGAATTCCCCCACAGAACTCTTATATCCTCCAGGTTCTTTGAATATAAACACCGTCGTCATCCGAGTGCTATAAATTCTGATATATGGTAGGGTGCGAAGTGTCCATCAGATGTACACTTCATTTTCCTGGGTAACAGAGGGCGCATTTGATGTCGCTTTCGAATTACGTCAGCCTTTGTCGTGATGCAATCGCACTTCAAATGTGACCCTGGAGCACAAAACCAGTCATAAGGGTCAATTTTTTGAACTTGAGATTTATACATCATAGGATAGGATAGTTAGGATAGGACAATATTTGGCCGAGATACAACTATTTGAAACTCAATATAAAAAAATAAAAAAAATATTGAGAAAATCGCCTTTAAAGTTGTCCAAATTAAATTCTTAGCAATGCATATTACTAATCAAAAATTAAGTGTTAATATATTTACAGTAGGAAATTTACAAAATATCTTCACGGAACATGATCTTTACTTAATATCCTAATGATTTTTGGCATAAAAGACAAATCAATAATTTTGCTACAAATATACCCCAGAGATTTAAGACTGGTTTTGTGGTCCAGGGTCACAAATGCGCACTCCAGAGTCCGCGCACTCAACATTGGGACAGCCTTCATTGCGCCACTGTGACGCAATCGCACTTTAAGTGCACACTCCAGAGGCTGCGCACTCAACATTGGGACACAGCTATAGAGACATTAGACACCGGACAAGGAAACATGGGGCAGACAACTCTTTAAGTACTGAACTAAACAAGGTAATTAACAAGACATACCTGAAATCATCGAGACAATGAAACATAGGAGAAATTAGGTCACAGGAAGCACATGAGGAGAAAAACAAACACAAAACAGGTCCATATTCCTGACACCGCCTTAGTCACACAACTCCTGCAGTTGATAACAACAATCTAATGTTCAAACAACATCAGTCAGGCCTATACCACTACACTTAAAATGAGCCCATATCTAGCAGAAAACATACATAAATAACCCTGAGGAGCTAAAAGGGGCCATACGCAAACAGGGAAAGAAAACAAAAATATACAAAATATATTTCTAACAAAATAAGTATTTCAGTAGCAATAAGAACAAAGCAAAAAAGCAAAGATGACAAAAAGAAAAAAGAAAAATGTAGACTTTAAAATAAATCCCTCTTATACATAAAGGCTAGATTACTTTTCCAGGATGACAGAGCATAGATAAACATGAAAACCAGTCTGGAATACAGTTACAGTGTCATCATTGGGCATTAAAGGGATAGTTCACCCAAAAATGAAATGTGATGTTTATCTGCTTACCCTCAGGGCATCCAAGATGTAGGTGACATTGTTTCTTCAGTAGAACACAAATTATTATTTTTAACTCCAACCGTTGCAGTCTATCAGTCGTATAATGCATGGCAATGGTAACAAAATCTATGAGAGTAAAAAAAACATGCACAGACAAATCCAAATTAAACCCTGCGGCTCATGATGACACATTGATGTCCTAAGACACGAAACGATCGGTTTGTGCCAGAAACCGAACAGTATTTATACCATCTTTTACCTCTAATACAACACTATGTCCAACTGTCTTTGGGTGCGCGCACGGCATCAGGTGCGTGAGGTGTGTACGCGCTCTGGCGTAGTTTACGCAAGTGGCGGAAGTGATCTCTCACGTGTATACGTCACTCATTGTTTACACAGTGCACAGTCATTGTAGGTACGACGGCTAATCAAAATGGTACTTGCTTGCGCTTATCCGGATTGTTCAAACCGACTTAAAACTAAAAGATTATGTTCTCTCGCGCGAACTCATTCGGGAGTGGTGACTTTCCACATATTACCAACTTGAGCCTGCTCGCCTGAAGTTATGGCTGATTGCTCTTCAGCTGGATATCAACACACCCATTAACGTAAAGAAGTTGGACATAGTGGTGTATTAGAGGTAAAAGATGATATAAATACTGTTCGGTTTCTGGCACAAACCGATCGTTTCGTGTCTTAGGACATCAATGTGTCGTGACGAGTCACAGGGTTTAATTTGGATTTGTCTGTGCATGTTTTTTTTACTCTCATAGATTTTGTTACCATTGCCATGCATTATACGACTGATAGACTGCAACGGTTAAAGTTAAAAATCATCAAATGTGTTCTACTGAAGAAATAAAGTCACCTACATCTTGGATGCCCTGGGGGTAAGCAGATAAACATCAAATTTTCATTCTTGGGTGAACTATCCCTTTAACAACACAACATTCAACATCCAAATCAACCTACAGTAGATTCAAGAAATTTTCATATATTATTTCAGTTCATGCATTGCATTCCCTAGGAATCAAACCCACAACACTGGTGTTGCCAACCCAATGCTCAACTGTTCGAGCTACAGGAACCCCAACCATCACACACTGCATTAGCTGTGGTTTAAGTATGAAAGTGGAAATTCCACTCGCAGCAGGATCCTGGTGCTTTCTACTGAAATACTCACAATAAATGATTTCTCCCAATTTGCAAATATTTCTAACATATTTGTGGTTATTATGTTCTTCCTGTAGCATGTAGATACCTTAAAGCAAAAATGACTCCATTACAAGTCACCAGTTCCAACACGATTTGAGTAAAAGTCTTAGGGTATCTGGTTTTAACAGTAAGTATTTTACTTGTACTGACTGTAGGCTCAAACATCCACTAGTCCTCAACACCTAAGAGACATGCCAGCAAGACATAAAAAAACAAGAAACTGCTGATTTGTCAGGAGAGCAATCACGTTTATCTTCTAAAATCAAAATAAAACTGAGCCCCTCAAAACTGCAATAGGTCAAAACAAGACCTTTAAAAAATCTACAAACACTGAAGAAGAAAATGAATCATTGTGTTCTGACTTCTCCAAAAGCTAAATGGAGTCAATTAAGCAGATGCGACTGTGGGTTGGTAAGCATAGGTGACCTGCCCTATAAATAAAGGCACACATAGCACAAAGGCACACAAATGCATTACAGAGATGCACAAAGCTGGAAAAAGCAACACAAGCATTGCTGAAGACCTGGATGTTCATGAATCCATTATCAAATTCTTAACTGTTGCTACTCAAACAACATTGGGGGAAGAGTTTTTTTTTTTCAAAGTGGTAAATAAAGATTATTGGAGTGTTTTACAAGAAAATAGTCATTCAGTCTTTCCGCATATGAAAATAACATTTCTTTGTAGTTATTTGTGAAATTTATACGCAATTTCTGATTGAAATTTCAAAGTAAATTCTACACCAATTTTTTATTTTTCAGCATAGGAGTGAACACCCTGCAAAGATCACACAATGGGAAATCCAGAAAGAGGTGAGAAAGGCAAACTAGTTTTTGTTCATATGTCCACTATCAGAACTAAACAGGAATGGGGTGAATGAAAGAAAACCACTGCTGTGTGGTTTTATTGAGACACGTCTCATGTTTGCCCACAATCTAAAAAACCTGCACATTCAAGTCCACAAAACGTCATCCTTTTTGTCAAACGTTTTTAGAGAGAAAAGACCACTGCACACCAACACCTAAACCTCTTCCCAACTGTGAAGCATGGTGGAAACATCATAGTTTAGCACTGCTTTGGTGCCTTAGGGCCTGCACACTTTCTTTGTTGCAATCATTTAAAGAACAAAAGAACCGCATCAGTGAGAGAACAAAACCGAATCAGTGCATTTAACAAGAGAACGTTAGGACAACAGTTCATGATTCAAGCTTTAGAGATGTTGGGTGATGTAACAAGACAATGACTTGAAGACATTAAAATATGTTTAAAAACTAAAATGTCTAAATTATAACTCGCATATTAGAGGCTTGTATTATAACTGAATTTGAATACCATAAATCCAACTTAACATCTGGATGAACAATATGTTTTAGATAATGCAATTCTTTACTTATTTGTAGTCTCACCTCTTTGATTTCCAAGTGAAGAACTGGTTATACACATTTCTCAATAATGAGTGCTATTTTCTTAATTTCACACTGTATACAACAGCACAAGTGTCAAGAATTCTTTGGTGATATATAATAAAACATTTTACTTCCAGTTAACAGCACTCACACATGGATCTGAAGTTTAGCATGCCTCACATTGACAAAGTATTCATTACTGACCGTGTCAAATTAAGACATTAAGACAAATGAATTGGAGGTATATATATATATATATGTATATATACGCTGACAAGACTCCAGAGGTGGGATGCTGGTTATGGTGGTGCTATACTATAATATACTGCCACTCTAATCTGCGACTGTAAGGCATTAGGATATTATAAACATTAATATCATGGATTTCTGTATAGCTGCTTTGATACAATAACTTGATATAGAATATCTGTTAAATTTTAAATGGATAGACTATAAAAGTCATTGGTGTAGAGGCATTCCGTACTTAGTCATATGAATAATCCAATAGTGCAATTGCAAACAATATTGTTTAAATGTATGTTTTATATTGTATCAGTACTACAATATTGTCAAAGTATGACACGAAAGCACATGTAAGTGAATTGTTTATAAAAGTTATAAAAATGCAAACTAAAGTATACATTTTTTTATTTGTGGATCTTTGCATGAACCCAGAGGCTTCTCTCAGATGCTCATGGTGCACTGGATGAACTGTGAAAAGAGATGCAAAAAAGAAATTAATCTATACCAGAGACATTTAAGACCTTTAAATGGAATCATTTTACACATCTACATTACCTAATGGCAGATAATCAAAAGTAATTAATATTTTATAATGTTTAAAATAAAACCATGGTAGCAGCAACAGGATAAATGACACCAATGTTCAATAAATATTAACATTAATAAATGTATTAATAAATCAAACAGTTCCTCTAACAAGTCATTTTGCAAAGCAGCTCAATTCGGGTCTCAGGGCACATGACTATTAAAGGACCACCTAAACAATTAACTGTTGCTGGGTGAGTAATGTTCAAATTAAAATACAACACTGTAATTTTATATACTGTATAATATATACACATATTAGAGGCTTACATTATAAATGCATTTTAAAACCATAAGTTCAACTTAATATCTGCATGAACAGTATGTTTTATATAATGTGATTCCTCACTCATTTGTGATCAATCGTAAGATTTGATCTTTGACAATTTTTTTTTTTCTCAATAATGAGTGCTTTTTTTCCCCACACTGTGTACAACAGCAGTATCTGTGGACTATGCTCTGTGGGAATCATTTTTCCTGATTACATTGCACTGAAATTATTTAGATTTTATATTCTCTTGCCATATGTAACAGTTTTTCTTCATTATATTATGTTCTGTAATGTTTTGAGGACTTACATCATCATACTGAAGTGTCACCACTCCCTGTTGAGCCTGGTCCCTCTTTCTGAACACATCTGATCATGAGACAGTTTTACAGTAAAAACATTAACATTTTTCACTTAATTAGTTCAGTCAATTTAATTAATCAATCACTTAGGCTAATTTAAACAATGCTGCTGAAAGTCAAATTATCATTAGGGTAATCTGGAACACATAAACTTTGATTTTAAAAATCACATACATTGACGGCCCTGAAGAAATAATAATAATTTAAAAAAAACTATCTTGACCATTCCAGAGAGCTGTCATTTGTTGGTTGGAAGTGTGGAGATGACAATAAATTTCCAAAGTGTAAGTAAATAAAAATGTGTCCCAGATTGCACTAAAGCCTGTTGCACATACTCTATGAGATTATTTCAGCACTAACAACAGGAAATTAGAAAAATGTTTGAAACAGTCAACACTCTGCAGGTTTACGCTCTATTTAAGGGTTGTCCTTCTATTCATGTACATAGAATTTCATGAGAATCAAGTTTGTAGTAGTTATCAATTACCCCTTCCCAAAAACATTTTATTTCCATTATTTAAGAAAATATTCAGAGTAATAACTTCATTTCATGTTAAATAGAAAACTCACACAGTATGTGGAACAGGCATAATTCAACCTAATAGTTCACTAAATGGAAAGCTCCATTTACAATCAGAATTTCAAAAATCAGTACGATTTTTCATACTTACCAGTCAAGCTCCTCAGTTTGACACAGCAAGCGACATAATCATCAAATGAGATCTTCCCATTAGAGCTGTACCGCTTAATTATGCAGTTCATGGCCTGAGGACTCAGCCTGTACCCTGCAAACATGACACACCATGACCTTCAAAAACACATTCACATTCCATTTAAACCTCTTGCCACTAATTAGCCAGACGGAAATCAAATTGCATCCATGCTGTTTTTTTCTTGTCAGGAAGCACAAATAAAAAGCTTTACAGATATTCCATTCTGTCTTTTTATTCATTTATCCACAGCCCTGCTAAAGGAAGACCTCGGATCTAGCAGTTGTATAAAAATTGGGCTGATGTATTCAGACATCATAACCTTAATATCACACGTTAACTAAAGTCTTTACGAAAATACCGTTACCATAGATTTGCTATATGATCATTTAGAGCATGACTTGGCTGCATTGTCACTGCTTTTCAAATGCTCTCTGTTCAGCTCAAAGAATATGGATTGAAGTCAAATTATTGATAACACTTTAGTTTAGGGACCAATTCTCACTATTACTAGTTGCTTATTACCATGCAAATTATTAGCATATTGGCTGTTTATTAGTACTTTATGGAGCACGTATTAATGTCTTATTCTACATGACCATATATTCGTTCCCTTAATCCTGCCCCATACCTACACTTAACAACTACTTTACTAACTATTAATAAGCAGCAAATAGGGAGTTTATTTCTGCTAAAGAATTGGTCCCCAAATTAGCATCTCATAAGAAGTTTTACCCATAGAGGAAACGGCTTGGCTCATTTCCTGTGGGTCAACTGTGCCACTCATGTCCCTGTCAATGCTCATGAAGTGCTGCTTCCAGCCACTGAGCACTGCCCACAACTCCTTAAACTCATTGAAACCCATTGAGCAAGACATGTCTCTCTGATGAAAGGCTAAGTTAGGGAAAAAAGTCCAAGAAAAGGCTGCAATTCATTTAGAACCAGGGTTGGCATAGTAGTAAAGTTGAATACATTCAGTGTTGAAAATCATAATACGCCTGAAACGATTCAGTGTGTCTAAAATGTCTTCAGTGTGAGTGAGAAGGATACATCAAGCATGCTGATCATCAGTCTACATGTCTCAATGTTGAAAGCTGCAAGACAAAGAATGACTGTTACAAACCTGCAAAGTTATAAATCTGCAAATACTTTCAGCTTACGATTATGGGGATTTCTGTACATTCTGCATCTCTAGTAAATGAAGACAAACATTCTTACGTCTGTAGCCACCAGAGAAGTTGGCCTGAGTCAAACAAGTCTGAAGTTCCTCTGCAGATATCTGGCCATCCTAGACAAAAACATATACCTATATTTATCAACAACTCTATAATATTCATATTAGAGAAAAATGCACTCATGGTTGTTCAGCAGAATGAAACAAGAAGTAGCATGTAATGAATTTAAACTTTCTATGAGAAAGACTGATGTGTATAGGCTAATCTATGGAATCTCAGTAGAATTTCTATGCAATAACTTTTGAAGAGCAAATGAAACACCCTCTTACTTGACCAGCGACTGCAGAGAAGTATCCATACAGAGGGTCCTGCTGCTGTCCAGGGAATCCACCTGGATACTACAGAAGAAGGGGGAAGGAGCTGATTTTAGTGCCATTATAAATGGTGGTAATAGGGAGCGGCACATTCTTAATTTGCAGAAATGCATATTTCTGCTATAAGTTTATTTGTATACCTTTTGTATTTTGTATACACACTAGGCCTGGGCGATAAAATGGTATCGATATTTATCGACGGTACACCTTCTTCGATAACGATATAAAACATGTTCGATATAGCGCACGATATAGGCACGTGCTATGAGTGACGCAGACAACACACACAAACACATGCTGTAATGAGTGCTGTGCCTGCCTGTGATGAGGAGACTGTGAATAATAACAAAAAAAAAGAATATTAGTCAAATTTAAAATAAACATTTGCATTTGAATGTACAATCAAATGTTAGGTGTGCGTCAGGGAGCGTCATCAGTGGAGCAGGAGATGCGATGATGATGTAAGTGACGTTGTAGTTTAATGTTTTGTTAGTCGCGCACGAGCAGTTGCTGCGTTATGCATTCAAAATATTAGAGAAATATAGTAGCTCAATGCGTAGAAGATCTTGATTAGGTTAAAACCGAAACCAAGCCATTTACATTTTCGCATTTTCTAGATGGACAAATATGACTGCTGCACTCGCGTCTCACAGAAGAGATGTAGACAGCCATGCAAAGTTAAAACAGTTTAAACTTTTAGAAAACACATGACAAATTTGTGGAGGTTTATTCCCTTTCACTGCATCACATATGTTTTTAAAGGCAATCTGCGTGATGGGCGATTCGGCTCTTTGTATTAAGCAATGCGTAAATAGGTGATGCTGTTTTGTTCATAATTGTTTATGCAATTTACGAAATTATATTTGATTTATATGAGTTAATTTAGACGTAATGCACGTTTTTTCATAGACAGTTATTTTCTTTGCGTTGACAATTTAATGTGCTGCATTATTTTGCTCATTGTGCCCTCCTGTGGCCTCGGGAAACAAGCCAAAAGTTTAACCTATTTATCTGCATATAAAACATTAGAAATTAGATATTTGTTTAATTTTTATTTTATGTTTGACTGTTAAAAAAAACAAAAATTTGTGTTAATTTAAAAATACAGTGGTTAAATGTAAAAAAAATTTCTATTGCTCTTTGTTTTAAAAAAGGTTATAAAAAAATGTCAATAATTATCGATACCGAACGATATGAAACATTATATCGTTGATACATTTTTTTAGATATATCGCCCAGCCCTAATACACACACACACAAAAACTGCAAAACTGGTACAGTAAATACCTGTTAATTGTTTGACTTTAAGTTACCTTACCATGGTGAAAATCTGTAAGTGGTTTAACATCACATTAGCCTATATATAATTTTACTGTAAAATGCAGTCAAATTTATGGTTTTTCGCAAGTTACAGCAATGATTTTCTATGCAATTGTATAAAAAAAAGTTGACAAACAGTAAAAGGTCATTCCCAGAAGTCCCTATATGTAATGCATTACATATGATTGTTTTATAAACTTAGTTTTGTTTCTTCTTTTTTTTTATTTTTTATATATATTAATTTTTTAATCGGTTTACGGTAGGGTATTCTGTGTTACATTTTCTGTAATTAATGTTTATTGCAATGGTGTAATGTCATGTGTGTTTCCCTGATGGCATTTTGTCTTTGTGTGTTTGACCCTGTGCACTGTGCATACTATATATTTGAGAATCAGCTATGGCTTATGGTCAGGCCACTTAAGATGAAACTTCATCATGTGGTCGTCTCTTTTACCAACTGCATTTTAACAAACTTTTCCACGACATTCTAATTTATTGAGATGCACCTGTATATCACTCTATAATATATCGATATGCCATCCTGTAATACTTGAATCACTGTTCACTGTCACCGCATTTTTACAGTGAATATTTCACTTTTTTTTTTCATGGTAGTGTTTAAATAACCCTGAACATGACTGAAACTCAATGAACCTAAAGTATAGAAAATCAAGTACCAGCAACGGTTTGGTTACCAACATTCTTAAAATTATCTTCTTTTGTGTTGAAAGAAGAAAGAAACTTTTGGAACATCTCGAGGGTGAGTAAATGATGACAACATTTTCATTTTTGGGTGAACAATCCCTTTAAGACTGAAGACAAGCTCTGAGTTTACATCATGCAAATAATACTCTAAAGTACACAGTACATCACACTTATTCTAGATTTAGTATGTGTCTACATAACTTTTGTTTACAGGTCTACACAAAGTATTTATATATAAAAAATAGTTAAAAACAAAAACATTCATTTATTTATGAAGCATGTGATCAAATAAAGCCTTCTTGGAAGAACCTTTTCACATTGTACTTCTTCATAATTTATGTTAGAGAAGCAGAGAAACTAAAATTATGTGAGCATAACAAAATTGAGGGAGGAACTGACATACACAATTGTATTGTATCAATTCAAACCGCATTATTCAGTGAACATTTGCTACTTCGTGCTTTCCTGATGATTTAACCAGTTGTACACCCACCAATTATTAATAGACTACTTTAAAAGCAGGCACTTTTATTTTGAAGTTAAGCATTTGTAGGAAGGACCATCTAGTGAAACACTACAACAGTGGTCCCAAACCTGTCCTGGAGGACCCCCTGCCTTGCACATTTTGTATGTCTCCCTAATCAGACATATCCAATTTAGTTCTTGCAGTCTCTACTAAAGAGCTGATGAGTGGAATCAGGTGTGTTAGATACGGGAGACATACAAAAGGTGCAGGGCAGGGGGGCATCCAGGACAGGTTTGGGAACCACTGTACTACAATGATTACAGTACAATCCTGGGCACACAGCACTGCACAAATGGTGTATGGCTTTCTTAAATAACACAGTAAATGCATATCACAAGCTCCATTAAGAGAGAACTCCAGGAAATGGACTAAGTGCGTCAGATAAGAGCAGCATATAAAATTCGCAATGCTGTGGGTCAGAAGAACTAGTATGAAAAAAACCAATGACCTACAGCCGTGTCTCAATCTGACACACCCAGTTCTGGTCAAGGGTCACTGTACTAATCTGCTGATAAAAAAACAGGTGTGTTTTGTAAACCAGAGGTAGGCAAACCAGCAACAATTAAATTCCATATTTATTCAACCAACCAGGAGAGCTTTAAACGCCACAAAACCTACTAACACTTTCCCTTTACAGCGCCCACTGTAAGATAAAGAGCATAGCCATCGCCTAATAATATTCACCCTGTGGCAACTTAAACAAGCTCATGGTCACACTATGTTAGAATAAGCGCAAGATTGTTTAACATCAGGCTTTACCAAACGTTCTGTTTAAAATGTTCATGTACAGCGAATGAATTCATATAATTGACAGAAAACTGATAAATCATACCCCGCCAGCAGCCGGTGCACCGTATCCCTGGAAATTCATTGTACAAGAGCGATTTCTTCTTGGAGACTGCCCAAAACCGGATCAATTGATGCTTAAATGTGTGGATTTTAATCTCCGCCCTCTTCCGTAATGGGCGTGGCAAACAAAACCAATGTTTGTTTTTTTGTTGGTTTTTTTTCCTACTAACGTAAGATGATCTGGCTCGCACTATGGTATTAGATAAACAAACCTAATAATAAATCCATTCTTTTGTATTTACTCAACTGTGAAATAGACTTGAAAGCCTAGAAGCGAATGAAAATATTGCTTTTGGAAAATATTTGACTGTTCAGAATATACCGCGACACCTGCACACAAATGAATGTAGAACGCCTGCAAGAAAATGCAGATAATTTGAGACATAAACAAATCTGGGTAACGCTTTATTTTAAGGTGTCCTTGTTACACATGTTACATGTACTTACTATTATAATAACAATAAATGATGCATAATTACATGCAAATAACCCTAGGACAAATCCCTATATAGTAAGTAGGCTACATATAGTTAATTAATATTACGGTAACACTTTACTTGAAGGGGTGTGCATAAGACTGGCATGACACCTTCATAATCATGACATGACACATGTCATGAATATGAAGGAGGTTTAATGCATGTTTATGAGAACTGTCATTAAGTGTCATTCGCTCAGTTATGTCATTTTTAATGCAAATATGACATTATTTGACCTAACCCTACCCCTACCCTTACCCCTAACCATAGCCCATAACAAAGACATCTCAAACAATGTCATCTTTGCATTAAAAATTACATAACTGAGCGAATGACACTTAATGACAGTTCTCATAAACATGCATAAAAAATCTTCATATTCATGACGTGTGTCATGTCATGATTATGAAGGTGTCATGTCAGTCTTATGCACACCCCTTCAAGTAAAGTGTAACCGTAAAAGGTGTAATACTTCATATTTAGCTGCTTATATTGTCTTTATTAAATAAGTAGGCTATATCATTTTTCAACGCACAACCTGTGTAATTGAGTGAATTATGATTTCTTTATAAGAGTTTTAAAAACTTAAAATAGAAACGCTTTTAGTAATACTTTAGATTAGGGAACACTATTCGCTATTAACTAGTTGCTTATTAGTATGCATATTACTAGCATATTGGCTGCTTATTAGTAAATATAAAGCACATAATTACTGCCTTATTATACATGACCCAATACCTAAACATAACTACTACAGCTTACCAACTTGCTTACTATTAATACGTTTACTGAGGGAAAACTCTTAGTTAATAGTGAATATGTGTTCCCCAATCTGAAGTGTAAGTTTTTTTTTGTTTTTATTGTGGAATATTGTGTTTTTTGTTATCTTAACTGGAAGAACTGTTTAGCGCCTATTGCTTTTTTTTTTTTTTGGATAACAACATTTTATTACATGAATATTAATCCAGAAAACAATTGTGTTCTGCTTGTAGATTTACAACAGCTACCAACTACAACTAACAACTATGTCCCAGAATTAGGAGGCTAAAAGAAAGTTCTTTTCATTGAATCATTTCATATCGAATGGGGTGAATATCAGTTTGGTATGTCAGGTACTAATATTTCTAGAATGATAAGCATGCAGTAAAAGATTACAATTCTGCAGACAAAACAGAAAAAAGAAAGAGCGCCCTCTGGAGGCAATGGTGTCCAGTCGATCGCATTGCATTGTGGTATATAGACTGCTATGTAGTCTTTTGGTTGCATACTTCACATTTGGACAACCGTAGTGCATCATCCGGGAATTCTATGCATGCAGACAGTTCTATCAGTGGACATGATACATACTACATAGCGCAGAAATAGATAGGGCGTAGTGTGGTTATGTACCGTTCCGACGCACCCCGTAAACGTAATGTCTGCGCGACAAGGTTTGTTTTTTTAACCGGAGAGCGGACATGGACAGAAACGTGGTGGTTAAAGTAGGCGCGATGGCGAGCGCTACTATGTGCGCGTTGTTCGGCGGAGTCGTGTTCGCTCAGTACATTTTCACCAAGAAACAGAGAGCAGGAAAGAAAACCAAGATAATCGAAATGGTGAGCGCACACATTTTCCTATTTCTGTAATGGCTTTCACACCCCGTTCACCCCGCGAGCGTGTAGCGCGTAAAATGAGAACGTTCCCGAGGCTGTCGAGCTCCAGAAGTTGACAGCTGTGTTCGTTGAATAAAACGGAAGTGCTCGCGCTGAAGTGGGCCCCGGGCGCGCCAGTAACGTTACTGTCAACATATATGGGATGTAGAGGTCATTCAGCACTCTCGAGCTCTGTTTATTCAGAATAAATACAATATCATGTTCAGAGAGTAAATACAATATCATCTTCATGTATTGTATAGTGTCACTTTCAGTCGAACATCCCACGTGTTCTTTCTATCGATTGGCATTTATGAAGACATTATTGTTTTTTTTATTACTTGGTTGTTATCGAATGACATTAGATAGCAATAATATTCACTACAGGCTTAATGCCATCCTTAGAAAAATATCTACAGGTTTCTTTAGTATGGTAACCGTACAGTAGTTACAACACTTTTTAAATTATTTTGGAAAAGTTTTGCTTTAAATGTATGTTGCTAGAAAGGAGCTGGTTGTCATGGTAACTTTTGGTGCAACAGCGCTCTCCTCACCCATTTTTTTGAGCGGCTTTGGTACCAGAAATATTGTTGTCCTGAAGGTAGGGATACGCCGGTATCAAATTTTCATGTTGCGATTAATTGCTAATGCGTTTATCACGGTATGCGGTATTATCAGGATGCGTATTCATTACCGTGATATATCGCATTACCGAATACCGGCACAAGTCTACCTGAAGGGATCATGAACCAAATCAACCAGTCCAGCTATGAGGTAAAATGCAACATTAAACACTTTGATTTCAAGCGAAAACATTTTTGAAAAATGGACAAAAAGACGAGACAGTGGTACCTTATGGCTTTAATGAGGGGATGCCAGAATGCTAAATGATCAAATTAAAATAATTGATTGATGGATATACAATTGTTGATTCAAAGAAGTTGATTGTTTATAGAAAAGTAATTTTCTTTTTTACGTAAAACATTCAGTTCGTTTGAGGGCTTAGTGAGGCGGTTTTTTTTGTTATGATTTGCTTTGTTTTGGTTTTCGGTTTGGTGGAGATTTCTCCGCAGAATCGTGCTAGTTTTTCACTAGGCATTTCACTTTTGAAAGTATTTAAAAGATAAGTTGTAATAATTCAGGCCAATGGCTTTAATCAAAAGCATATACCATTAACAACCAAGTAGCTCACAGTAGGCCTGTTTTTGATGGTTAATTTATTGTTCAAAGTCAATACCGTTATGGAGAAAATGGGATTTTTACTTCCTGAACTCAAATGTTGCACTATAGAATATATATACCCTGCACTATAGAATGTTGCAGCAGGGATGATTTTTAAGGCTGGTGAACACGGGGCACCTTTTTTGAGCAGTGTTGCTTGGGCACTTTCCCATTGATAATGGATTACAAATTTATGTCTAGATACTTTAGATCGGTCGTGGGCCTTGTGTTTCACCTGGTTGCCCATTGATGGCAACATTGCTCAAAGTTGCCCTGTGTCATCAGCCGAATTCAGCATCACCCTGATTTCCTCAGCAAAAAAGTCAATAGGATTTTTCCATTGGTTTTGAGATCATTGCAGAAAGTAAGCTCTAATAGTACTATTTAACCACCAGCCTTTTTCAAGACACGTACAGTAAATGCTTAAACAATTACAAGTGGGGTATTACAGATGTATTTAATGTATAAGATGTATTTAACCACAGACCATATTTGCGGCCATTTAAAAAAAAAAAAAAACATGACTTTGGGACAATGGAACCAGAATTTCAAAAATGCTAATTCATTTCTGGTTTTTAAGAGTCATAAACAGTGCTGTGACCATAGATATCTAGCCTATATGGAGATACATGAATGTCAACAAGTCCACCTTGGAACGGTCAACATTTCAGACACTGCTCATCACTTTAACAAATCAATGAATTTTCATTGAAAATGAAATAGCAGAGTGCAGCCAGCTTGTAAGAGCCATAAATATCTATGGTACTGTACTCTGATGATCAGTAATATTTATAAGAGTTGTAACTAATATTCTATTTTGATTAATGCAGAATTATCTGATAAACTAAATTCTGTGAAATTTAGCTTCTAAAGACTTTCAGATTAATGTAAGCAGTGGAAATCGGATGTGTGCAAGACTCAGTATATTAAATCCATGCATTAGTAAAAGCATATACCTGCTGCCGTGTCATTAATGTTTATCAAGCAACAAAAGACAAAGAGAAAATCACTCACTGTTCTTTGACTGAATCACTTTTGTGTCTTTAATAAGTGCCAATTGATTGATTCAGTAACCATATTTCAGTTTTGACCTTTGTTTGGGTGGGGACACGAATACAATGCACACAGAGATGTACATACAATGAAACAATCAATGTGTGACGATTAAAGACATTCCCTATCACTGGAATGTGTTGTGTCAGAAACACACTGGCAAGTAACAGCATGACTCTCAAACCCTACGAATGTTAACAGTTTGAGAGCTGGAACATATTTAGTACTCTCAAATACACGAACCATAAGGAATCCAGTGGTGCAGACTGTTTCACTCTGGAGCTTCATTAAAAGCTTATAATGCTTATAATTTCTGTTTCTGACATTGCGAAATACCTCTATATTGAGTAGAGCTGTCAAACCCTGACCTCATTGAGCCACACAATACACACATACCAAACACTCAGACTCAAGGAGATAACCTTAGTCCTTCAGTCAGCATAATTTAGTTTCTGTATACACACAATGTACTGTTTGACTTTTTTGTAAGGTTCATGTTTAGTGTTAAAAAACACTCCAAACTGCACCTGTGCCTCATCTGTCATTACCAAATGGATGTCATTACTAATTTTTTTGGATGTTGTTTGTTTGTTTGTTTGTGTGTGTGTGTGTGTGTGTGTGTGTCTGGAGATGCATGTGCATGAATAATAAGCTAAACCCTTTGAATGAGCGGATGGATGGCAAGCATCACGCCTAGGGAGAGTCCCCATAAACCATAAAAACAAACCTGTGTGTGTGTGTGTATGTGTACTTAAAACGGCTGTTTGTGTCATGTGATTCCCTGTGGGGGTTTAGATTATGGGGTGTTATCAATTTTGTGGCAACGCCCCCTGTGTGCCAGGACTATATAAGTGTGTGTCAGACAAGAAACATTTTCTTCTGTGTTTGACACGACGCCTGGAAGAGGAAAAGGTATGCTTACATGCTATTTATACATGTGTTTATACGCGGTAAATGTTTATGGGGTCAGCATTATGTGATAAAAGTCTGTCTTCACTATGACCATTTATTTGATGTGTGGATGTTCTTGCATGAATCAGAACAAACTGAGCTGCAAAATTGGCATGTTTTACTCAAAAGTACCTCATGCAGTGGTCATTGTGACTGACTGTAAGTGTTTGTTGTAGTACTTCTTGAATGGGTTGTTTATCATTTCTCTGGGAGAGTTTGGTAAACTTCAAATTAGTTTCAAAAACTGTACAATCATCCTCTTATGCAGCCTTGTAAATATAAGGGATCTGATTACCATCTGGAAGGCATGAGATGGGGGTAGGGGTAGATCACACGTGCATCCAGTGTACTCAGGGTATGTTGTCCACTGTATTTTTGGAATAGAGACGAGGAGGGACTCAACCTTCACAGTGACAAATGGCATGTCAACACTGTCAGAATTACAGTTACAAACCTATGTTAAACCCGATTACCTGTATACAGAAACCAAGATATATTTATATTGCAGTCAAAGCATGAACACATTAATTATATAATACAAAAAAAGGTTTTCGAAACATTAGAATGCATTACAGAACATTTAAATAATTCTGTAATAATTTGGTTATTACAGAATTGTAACTCAAAGATGTAAGTTTTACCTGTGATATATCACAGTCATTTTCTTCCACCTCAGTGGATTTCTTCCATAAGACTCAAGCTAATATCTTTTTCTCCTTTACTAGTGAGAGACTTCGGCGTCTGCCCTCTTCTGGCTCCTCCCTCTCTGCAGTGACATCAGCACAGCATTAAGGAGAGGGGAGGGAATAATTAAGCATGCCACTGAACCGCTTAATCTCATTGGTTCTTTCTGTGTTTGTGTTTCTGCAGATGCCAGAATTTGAGAAGAGCACAGTTCACATCAGAGACCCTGAGAGGGTGGAGCAGGTTATCTGCAGTCTCATTAAAGGTGGAGCATCGAAACTGCAGGTACAAACACCGTCACCTCCCTGTGCTTTATTAGGCCATCTGTCTATCATACAACTGCTGTCACATTACTAGTGTTATGCACTGAACACACTTGTAGTGTCAACACTGTCATTAGTAGTGTTTAATAAAGCAGGCATCACTGTTGCTTTATAATGCTGATATATTAGTTTGTGACTAGGTCTAATGTCCCATGGTGTCCACCTTGGATCTGCTCACTCTCCTTCTGTTCTTCAGATCATCACAGATTTTGATATGACGTTAAGCAAGTTTGCTGTCAATGGAAATCGTTGCCCAACATGTCATAGTGAGTAAAAAATTGCCCCTTTTTATCATCTCGCAACAAAGAGCACAACAATTTAGTCAATAAACAAAATATTCAAAGAGGGTTACTATGCATGTAATAAAACAAATCTTAAAAGTAGTTTTCAAAGAGTTTTTTTAATTCAAATATATATGTCAACATTTTTCTTGATAGATGGAGGGTTGTTTCTTTACAAATGTTACAATAACCTGTTCTGTCTTGATATAAATTTTGATGACACTGAATTGACTGATACATTTTCAAAATCACACTAAAATATATCTTTGAGATCCAAAGCGAGTAAAAAAAATAGCCCCTTTTTATCATCTTTTTATCTCGCAGTCGCAACAAAGAGCACAACAATTTACAAGCATTAAGTCAATAAACAAAATATTCTAAGAGGGTTACTATACATGAAATAAAACTTCTTAAAAGTATAACACCATAGAAGACTCTTACAAGCAATTACATTTGTAGAGTTTTTTTTATTATTATTCAAATACTGTCAACATTTTTCTTGATAAAAAGAGGGTATTTTCTTTAAAAATGGTACAATTTATGGATGTCAAATTTCGCTATAACCTGTTCTGTCTGGATATAAATTTTGATGACACTGGATTGACTGATACATTTTTAAAAATCACACTAAAATATAACTTTGATATCCAGTGATCTGTACATTTGGCTTTTACAGATATCATTGACAACTGCAAGCTGGTGACAGAAGAATGTAGGAAGAAGGTATATAGTTTTTTTTTTTTTCTTCAATAAAACGTGTGTATAACGTTGTATGATTTACATGCTAAAAATTTAATTTTTCCAGCTGCTCCAACTAAAGGAGATGTATTATCCAATAGAGATTGACCCACATCTGACCATGGAGGAGAAATATCCATTTATGGTGGAGTGGTGAGTGACCACACATGCAAATAAACACACATGAAATGATCTTTCAGAATGCTGTATTAAATAAACGTGGTCTTTTTTTCCTCAGGTATTTTAAGTCTCACACGTTATTGGTAGAACAGAGATTGCAGAAGGACAAACTTCCAGAGGTCGTGAGAGAGTCGGATGTCTGTCTAAGGTACAAACATTTCTAACCCTAACCCTAAGGTTTTCACAACTTTCACTCTGAATACCAAATAATCTTGCATTAGAATCGCAGCAGCTGTGGTATCCTTTTACTACACCAAAAGCACAATTAATCTCTCAAAGATGTTGCCGGATCTGATCTTTAAGCATGTGTTTGGTGTGACAGGGAAGGGTACGAGCAGTTCTTTGACCGGCTGCACCAGCACAACGTTCCTATGTTCATTTTTTCCGCCGGTCTGGGAGATGTGCTGGAGGAAATTATCAGACAAGCTGGCGTCTACCACACCAACGTCAAAGTTGTGTCCAACTTCATGGACTTTGATGATAATGTGAGTCTCGAAGCTTTTATAAATATCACCGGTTTATATTACTCTCAAACACTGCTTTAATTGAGCTCAGTGATGATCATCTGCTGATCAGGATCTTCTGTATTGTCTTGCAGGGGGTTCTGAAAGGCTTTAAAGGAGAGCTGGTCCATGTTTACAACAAGCATGACGGTGCCCTGAGGAACACAGAGTATTTCAAACAACTGAAGGACAATGGAAACATTATTCTGCTCGGAGACTCTCTCGGTGATCTCACCATGGCAGATGGTGTGCCCAATGTAGAGCACATCCTCAAAATCGGCTTTCTTAATGATAAGGTACTGATTTCTTTTCTCATTGCTCAAAACAGGACCGTTGTTTAGTTGATTTCACTGATAAGGTTTTGTTGTATTTCACAGGTAGAGGAACGGTTAGAAAAGTACATGGACTCTTATGATATAGTTCTGGTGAGGGATGAAACACTTGAAGTGCCTAATTCCATACTACAGAAGATCTTATAATAGACACCGCAGAGCCACCGGCCCACAGCACAGCCTGCAAGGAAAAGACTCCGATTCCAGTATATTCAGAGTCACCTGGATAGTTCATCTGTCGACATGCCTCACATGTTCACAAGCCATACATACGTCACCCTTTGACTTTTTTTAAAGTTGTGTCCTCTCATCATAATGAACTATTTTAATAAACACATACACCTGGGATCTCGGTGTAAATGAATATCAAAAGAAAAATACATCATTTGCATATTGGCAAAATTATTGTTTGTAGTATTTTTGATATGGAAATATGTGTATTCAGTGTTTGCAATAAAAGTTGGGACTGTGAAGAGTACAAAGCCCAACTGACATATGACATTTATCATCATTCTTAAAATGATGTGCACTTTTAAAGTCTGAAGAACTGTCAAAGTTCTCATGGAAATTTGTATTTCATGAGAGTATGCAGGCTGCATGCACAGATCAACATTAAAGCAATACTGTAAATTGCTCCAGAAGCCATGATGTTCCATGTGTTGTGTTCTTTGTCCTGTGAGAATGTTTTAGCATAAATTATCAACCTTTCGGTGTTAACATTTGCACAACCTCCTGATTACCTGTGAGGTAGGCAATAAAGTTTTTTTCTCTGGAGTGTTTGATTCTGTGAAATTATGTGTGAATGAATAAGAAAGATTTGTACAAAGTTGGCAACAAGTGCAGGTGACTATTTAACTTTTTCTTAAAGAGAAATCTCAACCTGTTTGGCAGGAAGACTGAAAACATGGTCTGTATAAAGTTTAAAAAAAAACTGAATTTTATCTGTTATGCTTTCAAGGTTTGAAATGTGTCTGAATTTGGAATATGTTCCCTGAAAATTCTAGTGAGGTTAGGTTTAGTGCCTCCAAAGGACTTGAGTCTGTCCAGTGTTGGGGAAAGTTACTTTTAAAAGTAATGCATTACAATGTTGCATTACTCTAAAAAAACGTACTTAATTGCATTACTTAGTTACTTTTTATGTAAAGTAATGCTTTATGTTACTTTTGTGTCACTTTTTATCAGCTGGGCTGGGCTTGCTTCTGTATTTATATTTAAAAAAAAAGTTATATTTTTGGCAACTGTAAAGGCCCTCTTACGCCAAAAGTGAAAGTAATAAGCCTCAGCCTGAAGGAAATGCCTCTGCCTCTGCACCTCACTCTCAATTTTTCTCAACACGGGGCCATGAGAGGTGTCAGTAAATAAAGTAAAATAAGACTTGCTGCTTTTTTTGAGACAAATCAATTCAGTAAGTCATAATGGGTCATAACACCCATTTGTCACCTCCTAATGGCATATGTAATCAGAATAAATTGTCACTGTGAACAAATGTGTTAGGGTTATGGTCAGTGTTGGGGGTAACGCATTACAAGTAACGCATAATCAGATTACTTTTTTCAAGTAACTAGTAAAGCAATGCATTACTTTTAAATTGAGAATAAATTAGCTGAGTTACTTTTTCAAATATGTGACCCTGGACCACAAAACCTTACCACAAAAGGCGTAAGGGTTAATTTTTTTGAAATTGAGTTTTATACATTATCTGAAAGCTGAATAAATAAGCTTTCCATTGATGTATGGTTTGATATAAGGACAATATTTGGCTGAGATACAACTATTTGACAATCTGGAATCTGAGGGCGCAAAAAAAAAATAAATACTGAGAAAATTGCCTTTAAAGTTGTCCAAATGAAGTCTTTAGCAATGCATATTACTAATCCAAATTTAAGTTTTGATATATTTACGGTAGGAAATTTACAAAATATCTTCATGGAACATGATCTTTACTTAATATCCTAATGATTTTTGGCATAAAAGAAAAATCAATCATTTTGAACCATACAATGTATTGTTGGTTATTGCTACAAATATACCCGTGCTACTTATGATTGGTTTTGTTCTCCAGGGTCACATATGTAATGCATATTACTTTGTTTTATATTATTTTTCCACTCAAATTTGAGCAAAGTACATCTATTTGTCCTTCATTGTGTGAAATACTGAACATGAAATTTATCTCCAAGGGCCTTCCTTTTTTTTATTTTCTGCAGTTCTGTTCTGTAAATGCAGTGCTAGTTGTGACCTGCCTTTGAACATCAGACCATCAAACAAGCAAAATGACAACTCGCTGCAGGTTCTGACAATTGTACAATAAACAAACAATGTATATGGTAAGCGAAGCCATTTATTATTCAGACATTTCTTTCTTGTCCTCCTCCATCCACTCAATAGCTATAAGTGATAGAGACTTGAGACGTACACTTTTCACATTCTGGTTCTCAGTTCATTTTTTTTTTTTACTGAAGACAATTTGGAAAATTAATGCTCTCCCTCACAGTTTGCAACTAGCAGTCTCAGAAAAAAATACATAAATGATCTTTCATAAATGATGAATTTAGTGTCATTCCTTCCATCATGCTGTACATCTGGTTCTGCACTCTAGTCTGCCACGGTTTTGTGCTTTTTTTGCACACTGGAGGTCACGCTTAAAGCCCTGAGAAACGACAGATACATTTATTTCTGCTATTTCAAATTCTTCTAATTCATCTTGCTGCTCTGCCAAAGAGAGTTCTGCAAAAATGAAATGAGACGAGTTGATGTAAATGTGTCTATATCGTGCCTCTATTTCTGGCTTGTGGCATGGAATTTTTTTTAGTACTGTGTACCAAAACTGCATCATGAAGGCCACCCCCAAAGTGTCCAGCAGTGCACAGCACAGACGCTTCTCTGCAAGTTTCTTGTTTCCCATGCATGTCCTTGGATATTTTGCTCAAGGTCTCTCTGACCTGTCTGACCTCTCTAACTGCATGATGCAAAATGGATTAAAGGATTATTTCTGTTCTTTCCACATGTTGCTTGCATTGTTGCCCCCTACAACTGGAAAGGTCACACCCAAGATGTTAACCATAGCCAGGATGCACTCATGAGAGAGGTCTAAGCTGGAGTATTTAATGCTTTGAATCCCCTTAGCGACGGTTTGCTTGAAATTCTTACCCTTTAGCCTACAGAACAGTGCATAAAACAGACCCATAAGGAAAAATGTCAACAATCAGCTGCATAGAGAATTCCATGTTGTTCATTTTAAAACCTTTACAAGGGTTCTGCCAGCCAGGGTTGCCAAGTCTGTAATTTTCCCATGGAATTGAATTGGGATATGAAGCACCTAAAAGCAACCACGTCGGACAGAAGCACTGCGTCTCACACGCACTTGTCTTCGGCCAATTCTTCAGTAATTGTATCAAAATATTTTATGTATTTTATTTTATGCTACCATGATAAAACTGTGCAAGATGATGAGACAAAGGAGATTTTTAGGAGGCAGCAGCACTGGTAGGAACCCTTTGAGCTCTGGCTGCAAGCTCCTTTATGACAGACTGTTTTTATGATTAATACTAATCTACACAGTGATTGTCGAGTTAAAATATCACGCATAATAGTGACTGTAAAATATGTATTTTGTATGTATTGATATTTAGGGTAGGGTTAGTTTTGATACTCAGATCTGGCAACCCTTGCTGCTGGTAGTGGGCACTCGCGCATAATCAGTGACGTACAGGAAGGGAAACTAGGGAAGGAAGGGCATAAAAAGTTGAAATGGAACGCGGCTACTGGCTTCAAAAAGACTTTCAGTGAACGATTAAATGTATAAAGTGAACGAGAGCGTTTTATTCACTTAAAAGAGTTCTTTTAAACCACCAATTCGTTCACGAATCTAACATCAGAAAGAGGAGACACAAGGACACAGATAGCATGCCGATGATTGTGAGGAGACTGTTTTTACGTTTTGGCTAATTGATGTTACTTTGTTAGCTGCCTGGTTGCTTACTAAATATCTGTTTAGCTGCACGATTTCGCGTTAACTAGCTATTTAGTGCACACACATTTTGTCCCTTTAGCCGTAAAACCAGTAGTGACAACGGCAGCTTGCTAATAATACCTTTCTAGGTGGCACATTCCAGTTCTGTTTAAAACTATAGCTTATGAGTCCCAACCTAGTTAGCTTGCTAGGTTAGATTTTTATGCGGGTCAAAGAAGAAAAGGGGGTTTCAGTTATCAAAACAATAAAAGTTTAATACAGTTTTTCCATTAGAATCTATCTATCTATCTATCTTTCATATCATTCGTTCATTTTTTAAAAACACGATTATTTACAGAAAATAATTTCAGTATAACAGTTTGTATACAAACAAACAAAATCAGGCATATTTAGAACAAGACTCGTTAGACTTGAAGGATCACAGTGCAATCCCAAAATACTAATCAATTGTAATTTTAAAGGGGTCATATGACGTTGCTAAAAAGAACATTATTTGGTGTAATGCAATGTGTTTATGCGGTTTAAGGTAAAACAAACTTTAGTAACTTTTTGTTTTATATATTTTAATAACTACAGGTCAGAATGAGTATGTTGTTTCATTTTTGCATAAATATATCTGTTATGCTGAATAACGATGGAACATTATCTCACCCATATTTTAACATTTTATTTCCACAAAAGTTATTTGAAACATTAAAGTAGACACTTGTTGCATTTAATGCAACAAGTTGCATTTAATATGCTGTCTGTCTGTGTGTGTGTTTGTATGTGTGTATATATATATATATATATCACTTTTGTAAATTGAATTTGGCCAAAATGGGACGTCTTGTCTTTGACCCATGCATGGATTTATATGCACATACATAATGTAGCTTAAGTACATTTTTTTTTGTAAAATGGGAAACAATTGTATTATAGTGACGAGAATGCATCTTGGATTATAGTTATTTCCCCTAACTGACACTTCCCTAACTGAATATTCTTGTCCATTCAGCACATCACAATTAAGCAGAAAGGACAGGAGCCTCGACCGCGACGTTGCCATGCAGACGCTACTTTATTCACATGCCCCTTCTGCACAACTGACGTGTGTAAGCCAAGACAGTACCATCAAATAATGACCCATTTAGCTGGGCATAAACTGAGAGCAGTTGAATATGGAGGTGAGTGTGTGAGCAAACAGTTTCTTTGGTAGTTAACGTATGTTATATAAACTAACAATAAAAACAATTTTTTTGCGTTTTTGGTTGCGTGTGGAAGTGTGTGTCGGAGCATAGTTTGTTTATAATAAGGTTGTAATATTTAACTGAAATGTTAGGAACTAAGTGTGAAAATCATT